TGATGATACCACATAATGAAACGAGGTAGCTTAAAAAGGAATAGTTTTTGAGGGGCGGTGCAATGCAGTGAGGGAATTAAGAGTTGTGTTTTGAAAATGTACAGTGTGAGATGCCATTTAGACACTGGAGATAGTTTGATGGTTAAATCTATAGCTCAGGGAAATTGGGCTGGAGAAGTAAATTTGAGAGTGAACAACACATGGATAGTATTAACATCACTGAGACGAATGAGATCACTTAATGAAAGATGAGCTTGAACCTGGAACAACAAAAAGGGCTTGAAATCATTCTGTTTTCTATTGATCCTTTTTAGAGACACCTTCTAGTATTCACCTTAGTTCATTTTCTCCGTTTCTGTGTGAAAAGAAGAATAAAACTACGGGAAAATTTGAACAAGTGTTAAAGGGTTATCAGCACCAGATCTCAATTCTCTTTTTGTCAGGACATGTAAAACAATACTTAGCCTAGTGAACTCAGATTAAATATAAGCTGGAAATTGAGTATTACTTTCGAGATTTTTAGGCAGTTTCTGATTCTTACATATTATGGAGTCTTTTATCTGAATAATGAAACATCTTTAGGGGGGAAAACTTCAAAGGAAAGAGTCCTTACTGTATATTCTCTGAAGCATGGAGAAAGCTGGAAAAAAGTTAGGACTAAGACAGCAACACTCCAATTCACCAACCAAACACGCGTATGGCAAACTCCAACCCTTCAGGCAGGAGTGTATCCAAGGGAATAGACAGATCCATGAGGAGTGAGAAGGGGTGAGAAAGGACACAGTATCAATATTTCTAGGTTCTTTGTCATTAAAAAAATTTTTAATAAAACATTAATTAAAATAATTTTTAATGGCCCTGTGATCTTTTTTTAAAGTCCTTATCTTTCAGAGATACATGCTGAAATATTCACAGATTAACTGAAATGTTGAGTATTTTCTTCAAAACACTTACGGAGGAGTGGGGAGTTTGTGAGGGGATAGATAAACAAGATGAAACTATGAGTTGGAGCTGGGTGATGGAGACAGAAGAGTTCGTTATACTACTATTTCTGTTAATGCTTATGTTTTATTGTTTTCTATAATAAAATACTTTTAAAAATGAATCTTTGAAATACAGAATACATGTATTTCTTGATCTGTGTTCAGGACAATTTGCTATGAGGTGAGGAATACCAGAACCGAGGCTCAGAGAAAGGGGTTTGGAGGAGGCAGGTAAGAGCTGAGCTCTCATCAGGATAAGCAACAGTTCTGTAAGGTGGGAAAGTAGGAACATATCTGGATGGATGGATATCGACAAGTGCCAGTTAGGGAGACTGGCCATATCTGGAGCTGTTAGGTGCTAAAGCAGTGTTCATGTTAGCACAGATGCTGAGCCCCAAGAGTGGGGAAAGACTGAGGGTGGAGGACTATGCCCGCCACTTAAAACACTGTAGGAAGCCCATCAAAGTCAGCCATGGGCAGCAGGTCTTGTGTCTCAGATATTCACATAGACTATCTTCCTGCTCAACCTCTCTACTCATTCTCTCTTTCTCTGTTTTTCTCCCTCTGCTAATCCCACTCTTCTTTATGATATGCTGGGACATTGTTCTCAGCATCACCTATTCTCCTCTGACTTGAGACCCAGAGCCTTGTGCCAGTCCTTCCCACTCCTTGTTCAGCCATGTTTGGCTGGTAGGCCTGGAAAAGAAAGCTGGAAAGAATGTGCTGAGTAACTCCAAAAGACTCTAGATGTGCCCATTCCAACAATGCTGAGACACAGTGCCCAGCCAGATAAGATACTGGAGCGCAGCACAAAGAGAAAAATATGCTCATGCTCCCTGTGGAAAGCAAACCACACTGGGTCATTTAGATATCATGTGGCTAAAGCAGATCTAGTGTTTGTTGATGTCATTCTTACTTAAAACTCTTTCTAAAAGAATAACTAAGAGCAGCTTGCTGCTGTGAATCACCAGGCCTTCAAACCCTATGTTTTAGAAAATTGATGAGTGAGGGGCTGGGACCAAATAACTTGCCAGTCTACAACATGTGGGTTATACATCGGGAAGTGCGGATCACACTCAGATTTTCACGCAGTGGAAGCTATCTAGGAAATCTGGAGCAAGCTATTCTGTTTGGGAAAATAAAGAGCTATGAATTTAGTAGTTTCTCCTCAATACTCAATTATGAAATCACCAAAACTGAGACTGGGAGATTCTAGGTAAACCAATAAACTTTGCTGGGATTTAATGTCCCCATCTAGCAAATGAGTTAATTAGAATAGATGGTCTCTAAAGATTCTCCTCAGCTCTAAACTTATAATTCCACGAAACACTTAAGACAAAACAACTTTCTTATCACGGAAAATTTCAAAAAGACACCTAACGTAGAGACCAATATGAGGAGTCCTCAAGTACCAGACAGTCCACTTCAACAACTGTTCAATTCTATTTTCCTTCCCTGCTACTTACTCACCCTCCTGCTGGCACTCTATTACTTTGAAGCAAATCCTAGACATCATAGGAAATATATTTTAATGACTTCTCTTGGAGCAAAGATAGTCTACAAATAACAGATCAGATAGTCAGTCTTCCCACTTTTCCTGGAGACCTTCCCTTACTGCAATTGTAAACACTATCAGTAAACTCAGCAGTATAGGATACTAAGTATTATATGCTGAACCCAATTATACTCAGTAAAGGAAGAGCTACCATTAACGACCACTTGCTATCTTCCAGGTATTACTGTGCTGTATTAGTTATCTATTGCTGTGTAACAAATTACCCCCAAATTTTGTGGCTGGAAACAAGAAAGATGTATTATCTCATAGTTTCTGTGAATAAAGACCCCAGGAGCAGCTTAGCTGGGTGATTCTGGCTCAGCCCTGTCAGGAGGCTGCAATCTAGGTGTTGGCTGTGGCTGCGGTCAGCTCAAGGCTTGACTTGGTGAGAATCCACTTCTGAACTCACTCACAGGGCTACCTGATGACATTGTAGCTGGCTTCCCTCGGGGTGAGCAAGCCAAGAGGACAAGACAGAGAGAATCCAAGACTGAAGCCACAGCGTTTTTTATAACCTCACCTTGTTAGAAACGTCTCATCACTTCTGATGTATTGTGTGTGTTAGAAGCCAGTCAATAAGTCCGCCCCACACTCACTGGAGGGGGACTGCACAAAGGCATAAACCGGGAGGCAGGGATCACTGTAAGCTACAAAGAGAGGTTGCTCATCACACGCGCCAAGTATTGATTACTGAACTGATAGTTATAGCTTAACTGTAAATTAATAAATGATTTCACTTCTTATATCATTCTACCCACTTGAGAGACCAGGAAAATTAAGTAACTTGCCAAGGACAGAGTAGAAGAAAGTGAGGAAACCATAGACAGATTAATTTCAGCCATTCATCATATATTGGTTACTCTGTGAGGGAGTGGGGATCCAGAAGAGACTATGACATGTGAATACACAGCCGTGACACATGTGAACCCTGCTCTCACAGAGCTTACAGTCTAGTGTAGAATTCAGATATTAATAAATTACAAAAATAATTAATTACAATAACCAGATTAAACTACTAGATTTATAATGCTTCTGTTAAACACAGAGTTGAATAAAACAGATAAAAAAGTATAGATGTATAAAGGTCTTTGAATATTCTTGTGAAAAGCAATGTTTAGAAGTCTTTGAAGAGAACAGGAAGACAAAAATAACATGGCAGCTACAGCACTGAAAATGGCTGCCCAAAATATCTTGCTTATTTTAAGAAAATTTTTAACATTTCCATTCAACTCCTTTGCATTGCTGATCCACAGAAATCTGCAGAGTGACCGTGCTCAGTCAGACGTCCTTATTCCCCTCTTCAATGGGCTGATTCTTCTAAGCATTCTTGTATCTATCCAGGCTCAACCCAAACTGTGACAGTCTAACAATTCTAACAATTATATTGCTATTGGACACCCCAGCTCCCCCTCCCACTTTTTTAGACAGTCTAATATTTATGTTTGAAAATTAAAATGAACTTATTTGATTCCTGGGCACTTAAGAGTGCAGGTGAGAAGGCTGCTGAATCAAAGACTTTCAGACCTAAGAACAGCTACCTTAGACAAAAAATTAGGCCCAAAACATTCAAATTCATTCTATGAAATTTTGGGTGGAAAATGGCAATGAAAATCTATAGGACAATTAAAATAGTGAAAAAAAATTAAAGAAGTTCTTAAATCTTACACTGCAAATTGAGAAAACCCTGTCAAGGAAATGGAAGAGATACTCCGGCTTCCATTTTTCATTCCTGTGGGTGCAAAAAACTGGGGAAAGAGGAAAAAGCTTTCAATCTGTGAGTGTTAATGAAATGTGTCCATTAAGAAATCTTGCCTATATTCAATGTTTTTAAACTATTCACTAATTTTGCCCTTGAAAAAGGAAGAAGTGTACAAGCTAAATTTTTAAGTATTAGTTCCTTTTTAAACCTCTATCCAGATCGTCAAAGACTGGTTTCCACGGGGCTCAAACTGACTCCAAACCATTACTAACCGGACTCAATTGCTGTGCATTTCTACTGAACCAATTGTGACTCCTAATGTGGCTAGGAAAACAGTTTCTGCTATTGGCTACAAAATTCAAATTATCCATATATACAATAAACTTCAGAAGTAAACTGACAACAGGGCCTTCATGCCCAAGGTCTAATCTCGTACTTTCTGGCAAAAATACAGATTAAGTAAGGAGGGAGTAATTCTCAGGAAAATGATCATTATCTCTGTGACTACTTATCAGTTGTGCACAATCCCTACCAATCCTAATTTTCACCTGCCATGGAATCTATGAAGTCACTCGCCAATTTCTTTTCGGCTAGGAGGTGAAAAAGTTCTCATTTGTTTCAAACCATTTGCTTCTTCCTGAATAAGTAGTTACTCTTTCTCACTACAATAACTTCAAAACGTTGTCAAAAATACCTCGCAAAATTTGCATTAAGGCGAAACGACTTTGCACGCGTCCGCTGTTGATAATGAGGCTGCACTTACTTAGGAGGCAGGAGAGGACTGATTGTGGAAACAAGCGATTTCCACCTTGGGAGTTCCCATCCCGACATCTCGGCCGAGGGAGCGACCGGGGCGCTGCAGCCTGGAAGGGACTTCGGGAAGCGCCAGGCAGCAGGTTTCTCTCCGGAGACCCCCGGTGATGCGTGGGAATTCCAACTCCCACCCTAAGAAGGAAACTTCTCGTCCAGAGAGACCTGTATCCCTCTCGGCACTCTCCTCAGTGACTTTTAGCGACTCGGCGTCACTTTCCCCGTCTTTGAAAAACCCGAGAGGAGCAGCGGCCACCTGCCCGAGGCCACGGCAATAAAGCCGCACCACCCTCGAGTCCGAGCCCCACAGGGAGGGGTGCGAAGCAGCGCCCTGGGCCCCTCCTCCCCAGCTCGGCGTCTGCTCGGGGCTCGCAAGCGGGCAGGGCTGGTACCCCGCGCCCCGCAGGGGTCGCGGCGGGAGGCGGAGGAGGGGAGCGCCGGCCGCGCGGCCTCGGCCCTCCGGGGGGCGGGGCCCGAGCGCTGCCCCGCCCCCCGCGTCCTCCCTTCCCCGCCCCGCCCCCACGCCCTTTTCCACCCGCCCCCGCAGTAGGAAAGGGAGAGGGAGGGGGGAAGGAAAGTGCTCCTCTGTGGAAAGGGGCGGAAGGAGGGGGAGAAAAAAAAGAAAAAGGGAACAGAAACATGGCCGTCCGCTGTCCGGGCGGCCGTGCCGCGGAGAGCTCCTAGGCGAGCCGCCATCCGCACGGCGGGCCTCGCGTGAGCCGGGCGCCGGCGCGAGCTCGCACCCCGGCCGTTACCCCTCACTGCCTGCGGCGCCCCTCGAGTCCGAGCCCTTGAGGCGGCGCAGGCGCAGAGCGGGCCGTGGCGGCGGCGGCTGCGGCGGCGGCCGCCGGAGCGAGTCCCCCGCCCTGCCCTGCCGAGGGCGCCCAGGCCGCGAAGCCGGCGCTTTCATGCCCCAGCAAGGGGCTGTGTCCTGGGGGCGCTGAAGGAGGAGCGCGCGGCAGGTGAGTCTGGGCGGAGGGCCTTTCGCGGAGGAACCCTGCGCCGCGCGTCCGCCGGGTCCGCGCCCCCGGGCAGGGAGGGCGCCGGGCAGGTAGCAGCTCGGCGGGCTGATTCCAATGGCCGGCCTACGGGGGGTCGCCGAGGAGGCGGAGAGTGGCCGGGTTGGCATTCCTGGCCTAGTTTCCCCGCGGTTTCCGGGGGCGGGGAGTCCCCCGAGCCTGCGGGGTGTGTTGGGGGCGAGGCTGCGCCGGGAAGGGCCTCCCCGCGCCGCCGCCCGGGCTCCCGAGAGCCACTTGCGTGGAAGCGCTGGGGCTCTGGGCCCCGGGACCGCGGGCTGGGGGTGGGGTGGGGGCGGGGTGGGGGCGGCGTGGGAATCGGGGGTTCCTGAGGGGGTTTTGGGGCAGAGCGGGCGGAGAGCTAGGGCCCAGGGTGTCGAAAAGGATCGGGAGAGGGTGCGGGGAGAACCGGGGGCCCGGGCAGGTGTCGCAGGTGAATTGAGCGCATTTCCTCCTCTGCCTAAGAGTGGCCGATCCTCAGGGCTTCTTTGTTGGGGATGACTTTTAGGAAGGCAGGTTCCATTCAACTCCGAGTGACTGAACACAAATGAAACCAACTAATGAGCACCTAGTGCTGACTCCTGTAAAGAGTTGTAACTTTGCTGCATTGAGGATGCTGTCATGTCCTTGTTTCTTCCCTTTTTCTGCTTCATAGACCTTTTCCCTCCCAAAGACCATGCCCCATCAGAACAAATAAGGAATGACCCAGTTTTTAAATAGTATCCCCCTCCCCCATTATGTGTTTGTTTCACACGGGAAAATTTAGGGCAGTTACCAAAGTTACTTGTGGAAATGTAAGAGAGTGTCATCTCCAGTAATGAACACTCAGCTATCTGTGTTTTTGCCTCAGAGAGCTTGTCAAGCATTGTAGTCTAGGAAATTGATTTACTGAGCCTGGTTAATTGTGTGCAAAACCGTGTTAAGGCGTTCTCCCTAGACCCTAATTTACGGTGGGTGTAGGTCTTCCCTTCCGGTCTCCGGGTTTAGAAAATGAAGGATAGAGTAAGATAGGAGAGAATGTTAGTGCTAAAGTGGTGAGTTCTCAGTAAGTATTTGGTTTGAGGTGATCATGTGTCTTAAGCTATCTGAAATGCAGAGTGATGTATGATTTTTTGTGTACACGTGATAAGGGCAAAATTAGTTGCAAAAGAAAAACATCTCTGAGCATTCAAGGATTCCTGTTCTTGATCAATATAACCGTGACAGAATACCGTCCTATATTTTATTTTCTGCCCTGTTCTTTGTATTACTGTTAAAAAGTTGGTAAACTGCTTTCTTGCTGTGAGACTGAACTCGGAGATGAATTTAGATTTATTTTCATGAGGTTGGTCTACCTCTCATGTAGAGCCTTTGACTCATGTCCTTAGTCATGGCAAACTCCGCCCACACTTTCCCCTCATTGGTATCTCCTGTGGCCATTTTGCAAAATAGTTGATTGGGACTAGGAATCTGACCTTTTATATTAATGATTTTAGTGAACTGGTAATATGTCGGTTGATTTTGGCCATAGTAACTCACTTACTGTACTAGTGTTCAGGCTTGTTAATTTGGATAATTGAGAAGTTATGATGCTAGAAATGTTGAAGTTGTATATTGGAGTAATTTGCTCTTGTATAATTTGTAAATGAGTGCATTCTGTTGTTGAGAATAAATATAGTATTTTGTAGTATAAACTTGAGCTCTTCAGCTGAGGAAATTGGTGGTAGAGTTGGTATGTGGAGACTATTCTTAAAAGGCAAATGTTTTAAATTACAAGGAACTGCAGTGGTGTGGAGGCTATGGCAGTTCGTGGTGCCAGACTTGGAAGGTTGTTTGGTTGAGTTGCTCTCTTTAAAGAAACATGTTAAGTATCTGCAATAAAATCTAATTTGTAGCTATACACAACAGATTTTGCATGCTAAATAATAACCCGACAAGGCACCTTTGCTCTGTATGTATCTGTCAGTTAAGACCAAAACATCTCATCTTTTCATTGGAGTTTTCTGCCAAGACAAACATTGATTTTGCACTGGCTTTGCTGCTCCGTTTGAAAGTTAGGTTTCAGTCTTACCCTTGCAACCTAAGTACAGGTTGTAAAGTAAAAAAGAAAACTGCTGAGTCAGAGGCAGGTTGTCGCATTTGGTCTTTCTGATTTGCAGAAATGGAATTTCTGTTATAATTTGAATTTCCAGTATAATATGCTTACTGAAACCTGGGTAGTAAGAGCAAATAAACTTTCATGATACATGGATTAAAATTTTGTCTTCTCTATGCTGGTGCCACAATTTGGACCTCCTCTTTCAGATTGTCCGTTTGACAGACTTGTAGCAATGGGATGCCTTGTTGGAATTGGAGATTATAAGAGTTAAAACTTGGGGAAAGAGTTTTAAATAGGACAACTGGTGTAAAATGGTAGGTCTTTAGCATCATTGTAGGACATTCCAAAATCAGATAATTTTATTATTTGAAATTTAAAAGTTATTATTTTGTGGGAAGATGTTAGGTAGTTGGTAAACTTAAAAATTTTTCTAATGTCAGTACATAATAATTACATATAAGTGTAATCGAGCTTAATGTGGTATTTGAAAACCATTTATTGGAAAAGACTATAATATGATTAAAGGAAATTCAGGAGGAGAAAATTTGTAATTCTCACCTATCTTATAAATACATTTTTCTGTACTCTAATTCGATTGTACTTGCATAATATATTAGTCTAATATACTAATCCTGTCTATACTTATAATTCTGTGGTTAATATTCATACCGTTGTCTTTTTAAACATAACATGTTTTCCCTGGTGCTGTGTATTACTATTATTTTGTGGTTTTTTAGTAGTCCCAAGTTTTACTACCACGGTTTATCTAACCATTTTCCTATCTTTTAACATTTTACTAATTCTACCTTTTTACTCTTAAAATAATGCTATAATGAAATCATTTTGCTAATATGGTGGTCCAAGCCAAATTACTTTTTGTGTGTGTGTGTGAGAGGAAGATTGTCCCTGAGCTAAAATCCATGCCAGTCTTCCTCTACTTTTGTACATGGGACGCTGCCACAGCATGTCTTGATGAGTGGTGTTCAGGTCTGCGCCTGAGATCCAAACCTATGAACCCTGAGCCACCCAAGTGGACGCGTGAACTTAACCACTATGCCACTGGGCTGGCCCGCCAAATTGCTTTTTAAACCTTCAAAAAAGTAAACATTCTTTGAACTACTTCCTTTGCAGTGAATCATTACCGCTCCTATAATATAGTATTTGAGAACTGAATTGAAGCAGGGTAAAAAACTGTAGATGTGCGTGTGTGACTTGAATTCATTGAGTAGGAATCAAAACATAAATTCATCGTTCTCCTTGTTGCTGACTTGCTGCAAGTTTCTGTATCTATTCATTTTACTTTTACAATATAATAAGTAATAGTCTTATAAGATTCTTAATACTATGGTCATAATGTGGGGTATAAATGTTTCTCAGTGTACCTTATTTCAACCAAACCTAATATTTGCAAATCTAGATTCATAATCTTTTGGCTTATAGAAGAGTCATTTTATAGAATTTTTAAAAATCTTTGAAATATTTTAAAGGATTATTGAATCTAGTTTTTTTAATTGTGTAAATGCAGTTCATTTATATCTTTAGAGATGCTTAGATACTGAGTCTCTGTTTTAATTATTGAATAAAACATCTGTTAAATAGGTACTATGCTATCTGCTAGGGGTAAAAAGGTGAATAACATATAGTCTGACTATTAAAGTCTGGTAGGTTAAGAAGTCTTATAAATAAGCACCATAACTACAAGATGACAATTCTAGAATAGAGCAGACGGTGCTATAGGAGCAGAGGGAAGTACCTGTGTTTGGTGTGGATTAGAGAGGTTTAACTGGGGAGTAAGCTGGAGGAATAAGTAGGGACTGTGTCATGAAGGGTCTTAAGAGCCAAATAAGAATTAAGATCCTACAGTGTGAGGAACAGGGAGCCCTTCAATTTTAAACTGTTAAATATCCTTGGTTCTATTGTGAGGGATGGGTTGGGGGAACAGCTAGAGCGAGGCTCATCAGCTAGAAGCATGTTCTAGCAGGTTCATCAGCTAGAAGATCTTGAAGGCATCTAGGTGAGCATTGAGAACAGCTTTGGTAGGGATAAGAAAAAATAGATAGAATTGAGAACTATTATATAATACATTTCCCTCTGGCTTCAAAGCCGTATCTCTTTAGCCTTATCTCTGGCCTACTGTGCACCTGTCACACTAGCTTACTTTCAAGTTCTTTCCCTTAGATCTCCTGCACATTCTATTCCATTTACATGTTACTTTTTCTGAGAGGTCTCTCCTGATCACACTGTCTAGTTAGGGAGATCAGCTATTATCATAGCACCTTGTTATTTTATTCTGTAGACTATCCTTCTTTCCTCCCTCCCCCCTTCTCCCCCTTCACTAGTTTGGGGGTTATATGCATTCTGACTCCTTTTCATGTTTTGTAAGTATGGGTCTA